GGTCCTGGCGCGTCCCGGCAGGTCGCTGTCCGCCGCTTGGGCCGCCAGGAGTCGCCCCTGAGCCTGGGCGCGGACCCAATGCTGCCCGAGGGCGCCCCCAGGCCACTGGCGTCGAGTAAGGAGAAGGAGTCCCCGGGTGGCACCGAGGCCTGCACCCCGCCCCGCCCGACGACCTCCGGGGGCAGGACCCTGGAGCGGGATGCCAGTGGCACACGACATCAGAGCGTGCAGACAGAGGATGGCGCAGGTGGGGTGGCCAGGGCCGTGGCCAAGGCCGCGCTGAGCCCAGTGCAGGAACACGAGACCGGCCGGCGCAGCAGCTCTGGCGAAGCAGGCACGCCCCCGGTGCCCATTGTCGTAGAGCCCGTGAGGCCTGGGGCCAAGGCTGAGGCGTCCCAGCCCCTGGGCTTGGACTCCAAAGGGTTACAGGAATCTACACCCCTGGTGCCTCCCGCACCTGAGGCCCTCCGGGGCCGAGAGCGCTGGGTGCTGGAGGTAGTGGAAGAGCGGACCACGCTGAGCGGGCCTCGTTCCAAACCTGCCTCTCCCAAGCTCTCCCCAGAGCCCCAGACCCCCTCCCAAGCCCCAGCAAAGAATGTGCCCAGCAGTGCAGGGCCCCCAGCCCCACCCGCTTCCCTCCTGGTCCCGACCAAGCCTGAGGTGGGGCTGACCTCCCTGTGCCCTGCTGAAGCTGTGCCCCCAGCAGGCCTAACCAAAAAAGGGGCACCCTGCCCCATGCCCCCAGGCCCATAGCAGAGGGAGCCACTGGGTCTGCGCTGTACAGCTGCCTGTATACATATGTACACATATAAATAAAGTATGTCCGTGCTGTGTTAGCATTCTGGAGCTTGCCTCTCCTCCCCTGGTAATGCACAATATCATGTTCCCACCCCCTTGCCTCTATGCTTGTTGAGAGGCAGAACTCCAGTCCTGGTTATCATAAAAATGGGAGATGAGTCTTGGGTGGACCCTTCCTTGGTCCCACCTGTCTCACCTGTGCTCCAGCTACCCCCACACCCTCAGCAAACTGCAGTGTTGTTCTGAGTCCCAGTACCCACCTGAAGAAAAGTTTAACAGCCTCGTTCACCAATTTACTTGTATTCCTTAATCAGTCAGGTGTTAATAATTCCCATTTTGCAGGTGGGTAGATTGAGTCACAGACAGGTTAAGGCACATGATTAAGGCCAAACAACTAGGAAGGGACTAAATAGATTCATACTGAAGTCCAAACTGGCCCCTGAGCCTTAGCTCATGTGCTCTGCTGGGCTTCCTGAAGAGAAGGCCCTGCTTTTCTCCCCACAAGGCTTGCAGGCCTTCACCAGAGGCTGGAAGGCCTTCCAGAGGGCAGGCAGCTGGGCACATAGTGTGCCCCCACCCCGGTGCTCCTCTCTTTGGTTGCGATTCATGTCACCCACACAAGTCCAGGGCCCTTCTGGGGCTACACACCACTTGGAGTGGTCTTCTGTGGTGCTGAAGGTTGGCCCAGCTGGCCCAGAGAAGGCTATCTGGGTCACATCCAGCACGTGCTGGACCCTGGAGCAGTTGGAGGGAAGGATGCCAGGAGACTTCTGCCAGAACTGGACCTGCAGGTTGCTTCCAAGGGCTTCTGCCAACCAGCCAGAGTACAGGTCTGTGGAGGATGGAAAGAGGGAATGGGCAGGTCAGTGTCACTATTAGGGATTCCCTAGACCACTTCCCCTCTCCGAGCTCAGTTGTCAGTTCCCGGCAACCTGGAGAATTATAACATTAAGACAATAGTCCTTACTAACCACTTTATATGCATCACTTCATCCCTAACAGCCCTTTAAAGTAGGTATCGGTATTCCCATTTTTCAGATAGGTCAGCTGAGGCCTTGGTTAAATCATGCATCACATGGCCAGAAACTAATATTTGAACATAGGTCTGTGGGTTGTTTACCTCTCATGTGATTTTGACCCCCAAAATATCCTAGTCCCTTATCCCTGACCTGCCCTCAGCCATGGACACACCAGACACCCATTCTGCAGAGCAAAAGCCCTCCAACCCTCAGCCTCACCATCTCCAAAGTTTCCAAATTTGGCAAAGCTCTGGAATGTGGCTCCTGCTCTTGATGTGAGTGTTACACTGTTGTTCCACGGCCCCCGGGGAACATGATGGCCCTTGACTACCTCTTCCAAGTGGGGAAATTTCTGGGCGAAGTCCTCTTTCAGCCTGTGGTCATACACCAGGGGATAGGTGTAGGTCAGCTGTCTGCCTAGAGGGCAAGAGGAGAAGAAAATAAGGGACTGTTCCAAGATTCTGTCTGGGCTGGTAATCAGGCACTCACCCTACCTCCCTGTCTCCACTCACTGATATCCAGGAATTCGGTGAGAGGAAAAGATACGCAGAGCAGGGTCTGCCCATAGGTTTCGGCACTAGGAGGCCAGCTGTACACAGCAGAGGAGGCAGGTGGAGGGAAGTTCGGAACACTGTGGATCAGCCAGAAGCCCCCGTCTTGGTCCAGGAGCAGCACACCTGAACCAGAAATTGTGGCTAAGAGAGACTGCTTGAGTCATCCCAAGAAGCACAGAAAGCAGGAAAACTCTGCAGGGGACCAGGAGCTGATGTGGGCAGTGTCAGGACCACTGTTGAGTTCAGTTTCTGCAGCCATCAATTCTCATAGTCCAGAGGAAGGACGTTGATATAAGGAAACAGATGCCCAGGGTTTAACAGAGCAGCTCACCCTCACCCCATACAGGTCGGGGGTTACCTGGGGAAATGCATAGGGAAACCAGAACCTTTCCCCAGCCCTCAATCTGCCCTTACCCTTAGTGTGCCCACGGCTGGAAGAGTCCCAAGACCCGCTGGATTTAGGCGGTTGGTCATTGTAGAGCAGGAAGGAGAGCTGGGGAAGATGGACAGGGGCAATGTGAAGGCTCCCCCAGGTTGGGCCCACCCTAGAGTCCAACCCCCGGTTCCGCCGGGGGCCCCTTCACCTGGCTAGTGGTGTTTTGGTACAGCGGCAGCAGGCTGCGGCCTACGGCCCCCCATAGAGCTGTTGATGGACCCTGTGCCGTCGCGCCAGCCCCCTGAGTCTTGGTCCAAGTACTTGTAGAGCAGACCCCTCTGGGCCGCATCTCCCGGTCCGCTGTGGGCCGGCAGCTTGTAGACAACGAACCTGGAGGTTGGGGAATGTACTGAAATGGAGGAAGAAGAGAAGGAACCCCAGTCTTCAGCGCAGCAATCCCCAGTCCGGTCCTAGGTGGATGGTCGGTGCCCGCGCACTCACCAGTCTACAGGCCTCCCCGAGTCCCCGTAGCAGGTCAGGGTCCCTACAGGAACCCAGAGCAGCGCGGCCAATAGCAGGTGGCTCAGAGCGGCCATTCGGCTGGAGTCTAGAAATAAGTGTCGGGACCGCGAGGCGCAGGGTCACGAGCTGGGCCAGGCCCGGCCCCTTGCGGCTTTCACTTCCCCAAACCCGCCTGGGTACCCAGGCCTGGTCTTCACGAGGATGGAGACTCCGCCCGCGAGGTGAGAAGCAGAGATTTGAAAATGCTGTCAAGGATCCTTCCGGGGGCTGGGCTTTCTTTCGGGCAGTCGCTCCCTGCAGGCCCCGCCCCCGACCCGGCCAGCCTGCGGCCGCCTCCTGCTTCTGGAGGATTGGTTCCTGATAGACTCCACCCTCTGACTCGGCCCCGACCACGCCCACTTACGGCCCATCGCAGCTCACGTCCCCCCGCTAGGCCCTGCCTCCGTCTCTTTCAATTCGGGTTAATGCCAATCAACATTCTTCCACCGAACCGCGCTCCTCTCCCTGCTTCTGGATCAGATGCGAATTATTTTTTCCTTTCCTACCTTACAGCCTGAGGTCCAACTCATGACTTCCGCTTGTGCTCTTGATCCTCCCCCTTTCATTCTGCATGTTTTCCCCGGCACCCGCCCCCCGCCCCGCCTTCGCCGCGGCCGGAGCTAGCCAAAGGGTCACTTTGGATCATGGCAGGGTGAAGGATGCTGGGGCTCTGGGACGGGGTGAGGGCTGTTAAATGGAGGAAGACGGTCCCTGTGAATGTCCCTGGGTTTCAAGGCAGGAGACAAGGACGATGTAATCTGACCTTGGTGTGGGGAAAGGAGGGGCGACAAGGATTGCAATGACCGAGGAGGGTTGCGCAGGTTTAGGAGATGAGGATGTGAGTGTGTATGGCCCCCCAGTATTCTCCCATCTTCCAGCACCCAAAACCCACAAACTCAGGCCAATACTGAAGCTTTATCTGGGAGGGCGTTTTTACAGGACCCATAACCATTCAGAGCAGATGCCAGTCACTGTGGAGCTTCAGGAGTCACAGAGTGAAGATTTCTAGAATCAGGGTCCTTGGGAAGCCTCACCCGAAACCCCTCCCGCTGTCTAGGCAACCTGTGAGCTGGTCTGATGGTCCAGCTCTCAGGGTCTGTCTCTTTGTCAGAAGTATGTAAGTATCCATCAGAGTCCGTTTATTTGGAGGTCTATTTCACTGGGTCTATGAGACCATACGTGACTGTGTGGCTCCCTCTGGCCAAGGACATGTGGGAGCTTCCGTTGGAGGTTCACCCTAGTCTATAGGCCAGTCCTTGATCTTCTGGTGGATGTGTGGGGCCAAGAGTCCAGACGAGGATTCATTCAAAGGAAACCATCTTATGTAGATCCGCTCTTGTCCCAACTCCAGTACCTAGGAAGGTCCAAGTGCCAGGGCAGGGCTCAAAGATGACGCTTCATGTGCAAGGCCAGGTGATCTGAGCGCGAAAAAGCGCGTGGGCAGAGCTGGCAGCGGAAGGGGCGCTGTCCGGTGTGCTTTCGGTAGTGACGGGTCAGCTCGTCCGAGCGCGCGAACCTCCAGCCACAGCCATCCCAGGTGCAGGCATATGGCTTCTCCCCTGGGGGGACGAGGGAGACTTGATCGCCACTGCCCACCCTGGTCCCAGGGTCTTCCCCTGCATCTGGCTGCACTCTTTTGCCCAGCCTTGGCCATAACTAGGATGAGGCAAGTGAGGTGTCAAGGTCGCGAAATTTAAGGAGGCACATTCACTCTCGGGGAGGGCCTGAACCTGCACTCAGGTCTGGCCTCTGCGACCCCGACCCTTTTTCTTCTGTACCTGCTGGCACCAGGCCCATTTTCATTTCCTGGACATAAGTCGCATCCTCTACACCACTATCCCTACTTCCTGTGCCCTGGTACCCTGCCTTGTGTCCAGATGCTGCCCCAATCTTCGTCCTTTGGCAGTGTCCCCTGTGTTCGAACCCCTCCCTTGCACTAGGGGACCCTCAAGGTGCTGCCCAATCCTACCCCTGGCCTTGGCCCTAGAACCCCGAAATCCACCTGGTCTTCCAGGCCCTGTCTCTGGTGAGTACACTGTGCCCCTGCTAGGCTTGGGTCCTTCTCCTTGTGTCCCTGGACAGGTCTGTACATGTGGCCCCAACCTCTGTGCGTACCACTAGCATAGGCCTCATCCCTTCTCCCCCCCGCCTCTACTCCATGTTCTCGCCCGTTTTCGGCTCCTAAAGACCCAGCTTCTCCTCCTATGCCCACCCTCCTCAGTTTCCCAGCTATTTCCCATTACTCTCCTGGACCTACTTCTACGTCTGGACCCCTGAAACTAACTCTGCCCTTGTGTCCGATCTCCTGAGCTCCAGTATGCCAGTCTGGCTCCGCCTCCTTTATACTACTGGCTACATCGCCTGAACCCCAACTCTACTCCCGCTGACCCCACACCTGAACCCTATGTCTTTGGCCCCGCACCAGGTATGCCAAGCCTGTCCGCTCCCTGCAGTCCCTCCTCTAGCCCCGCCCCCTACACAGCTTGCAGGGCTTTCTGCTCCTCCGCCCGTCCCTGGCTCAGGTTTTAACCGTCAGTTCCCTGAAATGCTTCCCGGGTTTTCCAGGTCCTCCCTCAGTCCCTTCCCGCCTTCTGCACTGCTTCCTGTCCAGCTCCTGACATTCCAGGCGGGTCCCCAGCTTCCTCTGCCCAGCCCTTTGCGCCGAGACTTTGCTTTAGCCCCGCCTTTGGCATTACGGGTCCGCACCCTGAGCCCGGTCTTCGCCTCTAGCCCCGCCCCTTGCTCCTGGTTTACAGCTTTTCGACCGCTCTCTGCTCCCAAGGCCCCGCCCCCTCACCCGTGTGCGTGCGTAGATGCGCCTTCAGATGCGAGCTCTTAGTGTAGCTCTTGCCGCAGCCCGGGTGCGTGCACGTGTGTGCCGCCTGTCTCTTGCGTGCCCACGATCGCCGACTGCGCTTGGACGGTGCGGCTTCCGCAGTCCCTCCTGGGTCTCCTGTGGTCCCCCCGAGTCCTGCACCCGCTGTCCCGGGTCCTAGACAACTCAAGAAGGAGTGGGGCGTGGCGGGGCCAGGCGCTGGCGCCGGGAGCCCGCGGAAGAGCTGAAAGTGCCCTTGATACTGCGACATCGGGTACAGCGCGGGGTACCCGGATAGTAGCCCATAGGGGGTGGCCGGCGCTGCAGGCACTGAAAGCCCCGTCCTCGGGAAATAGTTGCTAGAGGACCCCGCACCCGGCCCCGGGTACATTGGCTGCAGCGGCAGCGCCTTGGGCTCCGGGGCCGGGATCATGGCAGGGCCCACAAAGGCGTCGGGGGCTGGGGTTCGTGGGGCCGGGCGCACCCAGCCCGGGTGTTCCTCGGGACCCAAGAGCCCAGCCACCAGCCCTGGGCCTCCCGCATACGCGCCCTGAGTCTCGAGCGGCGGTGGGAATTGCGCCCCGGGGCCCTCCTCAGGCACCAGAGCGCAGTTCTGGGGAGCGCAGATCTGGGGCGCGCCGCCCGGCTCTGGGCACGGGAAGTTGTTGAAGAGGAGATCCAGGTCCCAGGGGGTAGCTGCGTCCCTTTCGTCGTCTTCCTCTTCCCTGGGCGTGTCCTCCAACTCAGGCCTCACGTGGAAGGGTGGCCTGGTGGAGTCGGGTGGTCCTGGGCCCAAGTCTTGCACCTCTTCAGTGCGCCACCACTGTGGGAGGAAGCCCGTAGCTGGAGGCTTCAGTGAATACCAAGGTACCCTGCCCAGAGGCGTTGGGGGCCAGATGCCCTGATGGGGCAGACTGGCTGGAGACTCAGTAAAGGGGTCTTGTTTGCTTGTCTGTCATGTCATTCTGTCCCACTGTCTCACACTGCCTGCCCCTCTCCAGCTCCAAGGACAGAGGTCTATCGGGTCAGGCTGAAGACAGGAGATAAGACTTACATTATCTGGAGCCACATTCCAGGCATGGGGGAAGGGGTGGCAGAGCCAAGAATGGAAGGCTAGGGGAGGCTCAGCCTTGCCTCAGTTTCCCCCCCAGAATCTCTCTCTCCTTCCCTGTCCCCCAACAACATTAATTCCAAGATTAATTCCTGGATGTCCCCTAGATACGTCTGCCATTTCCCTCTGGTAATTGTGGTTGTCCCACTAAGCCTAGATCCCCATGTTGTTTGGTTCCCAGACTCAGTATTTTATGACAGAAGACTAAGTCTAAGCTTTTAGACTAAGTTCAGACCCGTGGCTTGCACTGAGGACACCCAGTCCTGTCCAGATCTCTGAATTCCAGGACAAGATGCAGACCTGATCCCCCAGCTCTGTGGCCTCAGCCTGGAACCCCAGCCAGCCCATCTAGACCCCACCTGACCCCACCTTGAGGAAGTCTTCCTGTGTGTCCGAGAAGGGGCCTAGGGCCGTCAGCGTGCTGATGGAGGGCAAGGCGGTCTCCGCTGCAGCCATGGCTGGCTGGTGCCCACCCTGGGACTCAGGCCTCCTCTCCCTTGGCGACCTCGTGGGCTCTGAGGTTCTGATGGCCTCTTGGAGGGCTCCTCTCTGCCCTCAGCTCATTGGCTGCAGCCCCTGATAAGGGGCAGGCAAAGGCGGGGGTCACCGTTTCTGGGGAACAGACCTCACTGAGGTCTGTTTGGGGCTGAGCCTTAAAGATTGATCCTGTATCCAAAGCCAATCAGATATTCAGGGGCTGGGGGTTCAGGGGCTGGAGGTTCTGAGGTTTGGGTTTCTAGGGTTAGGCAGAGTGAGGTACTGGGTTCCCAAAGGAGAGACTTGGGGTCTGCTCTCAGTTACTGTCCTGGAGGCGGAGTGACGAGCAGAATGGAGATTCTGGGAAGGAGCTTCGAGACCCTTGCCCCTGACCAGGGCCTTGCAGCTCTCCCCTTCCCCAGTAAACAGCAGCAACTGTGCTGATGGCGGGACTTGGCATGAACTCCCTGCCAAGCCAGGCATTATCAGACTCCCCAGATGTTGGAGGCTGCTATCAGGTGGGGGCCCAGAACAGCCAAGGCTCTTTCCCCAGTGAGTGAAAGGGCTGGGGGATGGGAATTAGCTTGGTTTTAGCTTTCTTGGGTTGTGATCTCTCTGGTCTGAGACTAGTGGCAGGAAAGACCCCCCCCCCCAATCAGCCATCACTGTCTACCATAGACACCTCCCTGAGTATGGCTGTGTGGGGGCTGGGAAAGTATGAGTATGCTGCATGAGTATGGCTGTGTGGAGGCTGAGACTGGTGCAGTTACAGCTGCTCCAGTGTGATGAGGGCTGGGGAGCAGGTGAGCCCCACTCCTGAGTGGGATGGGACCACTGGACTGGGTCACAGGAAGTACCTGACCTGCAGGAAACCTGGCTGCTGCTTGAATTCTACCTAATATAGGGGAGCAATATGAGGTTCTGCACCAGAGACCTCCACTGTGGTGCTGAGGGAGTCCAGGTGGGTGACAGAGACACACATCACAGACACATAATTCATAGTCACACACACACAAACTGTGTGATTACATACTCACACAAATTCCCAGTCCCTAAATCACACACCCCATATGGTCCCTGCACATATAACTGTATATCTGTGTGTCATAGAGACCATGAACAGACATACAATACCCAGGCCTGAAAACAACCATATACTACATCAGTCGTACAATATTATAGTCACACAATCCTTCAGATGTAGAAGTCATAATCAGGCTCTGACAATCACATAGTTACCCAAATCACACGCAATCACACAGACACAATTAAGCCACAACTGAACAGATACACGGAAATTCCTGGATATATTGTCACAGAACTATAATAGATGCAGTTACACAACCCCATCAAACACAGATGAAGCCTCAGACACAAAAGTGTAAAACACATCAATACAACCCACATTCATAAGCGTACAATAATGTAGTCATGCACACAGTTATACATCAGGCACAGACACAGTAACACACAGTACCATATAAAACCAACAACCTTACAGAGTCACAGCCACCTGTCTCTGATACAGTATGTAATTAGCCACACAACTGCACAACTAGTAATGCCAAACCATAGGGGGCGCACCCAAACACAGACATCCACACTAACATGGAATTAAACACCCTGATAGTGAAAGGCATACAGCCTTACCGAGATGTAGGCACGTCACACCACAGACACATCCGGAGTTGGGGCACCATAAATGTATCACACAAAAAGACAAAAAATTATGTGCTGCAAAAGGGGAGGTGGGGCAAAAATGTAATGTAAAAGCCAGCTTGGCAAACCCACTAGGATGACTAGTAAAAAAAAAAAAGGAAATAACAAGTGTCGGTGAGATGCAGAGAAATGAGAACCTTCACACACTGCTGGTGGTGCAGCTACTATGGAAAACAGTTTGATGATTCGTCAAAAAGTTAAACATAGAGTCACTGTATGATCCAGCAGTTTCACTCCTAGGTGTATACTTAAAAGAATTGGAAACAGGTACATGAACAAATACTTGTATACCAACATTCACAGTAGCACTAGTTATGATCACCAAAAGGTGGAAACAATCCAAATGTCCATTAACGGATGGATAAACAAAATGTGGTCCATCTATACAATGGGATATTATTCTGCCATAAAAATGAATGAAGTTCTAATACCTGTTACAACATGGCTGAAACATGCTATGTAAAAGAAGCCAGTCACAAAATGTCACATGCTATGTGATTTCCATTTATATGAAATGTCCAGAATAGGAAAATCTACAGAAACAGAAAGATTAGTGGTTGCCCGGGGCTGGGAAGGAGAAGGAAATGGGGAGTGACTACTTAATGGGTACAAGTCTCCTTTTGGGGTGATGGAAGTGTTCTGGGACTAGACAGAGATGGTGATTGCACAACGTCGTGAATATACTACAAGCACTGAACTATACATTCTAAATGGTTTATTTTATTTTATGTGAATTTCACTTCAACAAAACTATGTGGTTGAAATTAGAGTGGTCTCCTGGATAGGAAAGCAGAGTCTCTCTTGGGGAGAGGTCTCCTTGATTTAGGATAAGGCACTAACAGGCATGTTTGGTTCTGAAAGGTGAGGCAAGAGGATGAGGGTTCAGAGAGGGGCAGTGGGGCATCTGGTTGGGAGATAAGGCCTTTGGGAGCATGCAGCCAGTACAGGTGATGGTCTTCCAAGATAGCTTGAGACTCTTTGGGTTTCCTAGTGTGTATGCTGTCATCACTCTCTACACCCACTGTGCATCAGAGAACTCCAACACCCACAACAGCTCCAGAGCAGGGAGCTTTGGCTAAAGGAAGGGATGGAAAGAGGGAGGCCATTGGCTCCAGGCAGAGGGAGGTGCTCAGAATAAGAGCTATGCAGAATCCTAGACATTTCAGGGTGGTGATGGGCTGACTCCCTGCTGAATGAGAAGGAGGGTTCAAAACATTTTATTTGGATATTAAGGGCAAAAAGGGCCCAGAAAGTGGAAGAGTCTGAACACACCTAGTCCCCGGGCACTTGGGGATAAGCAGGCTAGTGATCACATTCGGGCACAATCTCATCATACTCATACTCAGCCAGAGACGATGTGTGAGACAGAACACTCTAACACACAACTACCCAGAGTGCCTATGTGGGAAGAGGTTTTTCTGGGTGGGTGGGGTGGTGAGGAGGCTGTCCTGGGAAGCAGCAGGCTTGGATCCCAGTACTGGTCCCTGCTCTGCACCTGGCCCATTGTGACTCTGAGCAAGACCATTCTGATTTCTGGGCCTTATTTTCCCCAACTGGGAAATGAATGGGTCTTGGACTTTCAGATATAGTCAAGCATGACGCATTCAGATTCGAAAGCACACCAAACAGATGCTCATAAAAGTGATCTAGGTGAGCACAGCCACTCATTCAGGTATATACTCATGTCACACTCAAGCTCACAATCACACATAACTGCACATAGACTGACACATACTGGTATACACAATTGCACAGATATACACACAAATATCTAGTCATATTCACACAAAGATAACAGCCAAACCCAGAGAGAAAAATCATCAAAACACAGTCATGCACATAGTATCACACAGACACATGACCACACAGAATATCATTACACAAGCTCACAATTAGACAAGAAACCAAAAAGACATTCAGTTACATAGGCACACAACCACCCATAGTCAACAGCCCCACAACGTCACAGTCAGTCCCACTCACATACAGATACACAGTCACTCAGGTTCAATCAACCGCACAGAATCACAAAGCACAAGGAATCACACCAAGTCACTCGCAGTCACATGTGGCTACACATGCTTCCTGCGACAGACTGGCAGACAGCTTGGGCTGAGATCGCCCACTGGAACCCACCTCTCCCTTCCATACACAGCGGCCCATTAAAGGAGATGTCGAGTTCTGGGCTCCTGGGTTCCAGGACTCATTTTTCTCGTGCCTCAGTATCCTGGTTTAACTTCTGAGTCCCACTGCACACGCCCCCTACTACTGACCAACCAGGAGTGGGCCAGCCCCATCCTAAGGCCAATCAGAGCAGGAATACAGTTGGCCAATTGGGTCGGCGCACTCGCCTTCCGCCCCGTCACTGTTCTGCTCCTTAAAAGAGGCTAACAAGCCTCGGCTTGGGCGCGTCCGCTTCCACCCGCACGGCTGCCATAACCCTTTTAAAAAGCAGAGCCGTGAAGGAGCGGGGTACTAGGACGAACCAATGACAAGCCCTATTCATCCTCTGCCCCGCCCACCCTCGCCGGAGGTCAAAAGCCTTGGTCAGTTGCTTTGTATCCTGTTCCGTGAGCCGAAAGGCTTCAGGTGTGGACTGGCGAGAGGGGCGAGGGGCGAGGGGCGAGGGGTGCAAAGGGCTAGGGCAGCTGGTGGGAGCCGCTCCGCTCAGACGCCTCCACTCCTCTAGGTGGGCCGTGGTTGTTGCGCTCGCCCACTCGCTGCCCACATGGCCCTGAGAGGCGTCTACGCGCGGCTACTGAGCCGCGGACCCGATCTGCGCGTCCTTCGCTCATGGAGCTCAGCGGCGGCGCAGACCGGTCAGTGCTGGGCCAGGGGTGGGACGGGGAGGGAGAAACTTGAGGCTCAGGAACTTTCCCGGGGTAATTTTCCCGTTCTGTGTTTTCAGAGAAGGGCGGGAAGACGCAGAGCCAAACAGCCAAGTGTAAGGACCCCTCGTCGCGCCGCGCGTCTTCTTCGACCCTTGCCCAACTGTCCGTCCGGATGGGCTCTGTCCCGGAATCCGAGGGTAGCCCGGGCGGGGAGGCAGGGCCATGGACAGGGCCAGAGGCGCTGAGGCAGTGAGTTTCCCCGAAAAAAGGCTACTTTGTCAGTCCTGTTTGCAGCCCACATTTGTTGGAAGCGAGACGAGGGGTGGAGGGGTGGGACTGAGGATTGAGGATTCAGGGGGGTGTGGTGGTTGGGTGGGCTTGAGTAGAGTCCTACCCCCTCCACCTTCGCCTCAGCCTCGCGGCCAGAGTTTGACTGGAGAGACCCGCTATTGTTGGAGGAGCAGCTGACAGCAGATGAGATCCTCATCAGGGACAGCTTCCGCACCTACTGCCAGGAGCGCCTCATGCCCCGCATCCTGCTGGCCAATCGCAACGAAGGTGCCCAGGCAGGCGGGTGGGCCCCCTGGAGATCTTCCTGCTACTGGAACTGCACTCTCTACCATGCACATCAGCTCTGCCTGCTCTAGCTGGGCCTTTGGGCACCTCTGGCCCTGGGGTGGGGATTCCAGTGGACCAGGACTGCGCCTGAAGTTGTGCATCTGTCCCTTTGCAGTTTTTCACCGGGAGGTCATCTCAGAGATGGGGGAGCTTGGTGTGCTGGGCTCCACTATCAAAGGTAGGGTCAATTTCTCTCCACTGTGTCCTAGCAAGTCCCCTCCTTTCCTTGAGCCTAGTTTCCCAGCCTGTAGAGAGGCTGCTATTCTGTCTGAAAGTGGCTGAGGGGATGAAACTAATAAACCCTTGTGTGTTCTCCTTAGGTGCCCATATATGGCTCTGTCTCTTGGGCCCTAGGAGTCACTAGTCTCAGCTGGGCAGGGCTTTGTCCTCCATTGCCCTGTTTCTGCCCTGCCCCCAACCAGGGTATGGCTGTGCTGGAGTCTCATCTGTGGCCTATGGGCTCCTGGCCCGAGAGCTGGAGAGGGTGGACAGTGGCTACAGATCAGCGATGAGTGTCCAGTCCTCCCTTGTCATGTACCCTATCTACGCGTACGGCAGTGAGGAGCAGCAGCAGAAGTACCTGCCCAGGCTGGGTGAGCAGCTGCCTGTGGAGCCTGATGGAAGGAAGACAGTCCCAGTGGTCTGAAACTCAGGAGTGGGGCTGTCCCCCAACCCTGCCTTCTATTCACACCTCAAGGATATCACCAGTGGCCACTTAGGGTCCCTGCTAGACCGTGGGCCTCACCCCCACGTTTGATCCTGCTAGATCTCTCTCTCTCTTCTTTTTTTTTTGGTTAATGGAGTTATTGGGGATTGAACCCAGGACCTCATGCATGCCCTCTGCTACTGAGCCATACCCCACATCCTCCTCCTAGATCTCTCTTAACTCTACCTCTTTCTCACCACTATCATATCCCTCATGATTCACTTTCTGTGCTCCCCATTCCAGCCCAAAGTTTAAAGTCTGAAGTCCCTGACTGGGTCCATGAGATCCCATGTGAACAGGCCTCTGCTGACCTTTCCACCTCATCTCTGGCCATTTTTCTGACTGCTCCTTCCCAGCTACTTGGAATTCTCAGTGGTACCACTGGGCTTTTGCACACCTCGTCCCTCTGTTCTTCTCCACACCTCTTTCTGCTTAACTCCTTTTCACTGCCCTTCAAGACAGTTTAGATAACCCCTTCTTGACTCCTGTGGGGGCCTCTCCTCATCATGGCATTGTAATTATGGCCTGGGTAAGACCTGTCTCCCCACCACCTGGGAGTGCTATGAGGGCAGGGCCAGACCTGCCTTGGCCTGGCTTTGTGGAGAGGACGACAATTTTCAGGAGAGGGAATGAATGGAGATCAGGCAGCTTCATGACACTGTCTCACACCTGCAGCCAAGGGGGAGCTCCTGGGCTGCTTCGGGCTCACAGAACCCAACCATGGGAGTGACCCTGGCAGCATGGAGACCAGAGCCCGCCACAACCTATCCAGCAGGAGCTACACCCTCAATGGGACCAAGACCTGGTGAGGGGTCTGAGTGCCTTGGGCAGGTGGGCAAGGGCAGTAGGTGGTGGCCAGACCCCTCACTGTCTGTCCCGCCTCCAGGATCACCAACTCGCCTGTGGCTGACTTGTTTGTAGTGTGGGCTCGGTGTGAAGATGGTTGCATTCGGGGCTTCCTGCTAGAGAAGGGGATGCGGGGCCTCTCGGCCCCCAAGATCGAGGGCAAGTTCTCTCTGCGGGCCTCAGCCACGGGTATGGTTATCATGGATGATGTGGAGGTGCCAGAGGAGAATGTGCTGCCCAAGGCATCTGGTCTGTCGGTGAGCAGCAACTACCTTGGGAACTGGTATGAGGCCACCTACTGGTTCACTTTTCTTGGGCAGGCTCCATGCTGGGGACCCAGCTGGGGAACAGACACACAAAGAGCCCACACCGTAGTGATTCTGAGAGGCTCATTGATGTGTAGAAGCTGCCCCACCATCTCACTCATGCTGGCTCTGCCTGGGACACATGGGCCTGAACCAGCTTAATCCCTTGATGCATGTGCATCTTCCTGTCTCCTTACATCAGCCCCTAGATCTAAGCATCTAACTCAGATCCTGGGCTGGGTAGAACTGTAGAACTGTGTGCAAACCCAGAGTCTGCAGGCAGTGAGCAAGACTTCATGAGCATGAGTTTTGGTGCCAGGGCCATGTGTGACTTAAACAGCCACCCTGAGTCCCCCGTTTACACTGACTGCATGTCTGGGGTGTCTGGGGAGAGGGCTTCCCCCTACATAAGAGTTCTGTACAGGGCCTCTCAGCTTCTCTTGGTGGGGCTGAGGCCCCCTCTTAACCCTACAGGGTCCCTTTGGCTGCCTAAACAATGCCCGCTACGGCATCACCTGGGGCGTGCTTGGAGCCGCTGAGTTCTGCTTGCACACGGCCCGGCAGTACACCCTGGACAGGTGTGTGGGGGCTGCCATGAGAACTCCTGGGGGTGTGGCGGGGCTCAGGTTCCATCTCAAGCCCCCCACCCCAGCCCCTGTCCACTAGACCTAAGTTCCCCGCTCTGTGAAATGGCCTAGGAAGTCCTGAGCAGCGAGTGGCTGAGTCAGCGGCAGGGCCAGAGTGAGCTGAGTGGGGGCTGAGGCAGCCTGGGAAGGCTTCCTGGGCCTGTGGGACCCTGGGATGGGGCTGGGGAGTGGGCCCCCCCTCATACTTACCCTGACCTTGTCCACCTAGGATCCAGTTTGGTGTCCCACTGGCCAAGAACCAACTGATTCAGAAGAAGCTGGCAGACATGCTCACTGAGATCACACTGGGCCTTCAAGCCTGCCTGCGACTTGGCCGCTTGAAGGATCAAGACAAGTAGGGGCTGTGTGTTTGGGGAGAAACGGGGAGGAGGTGTGGCAGGAGGACCCCGTGCCGCTTCTGGACATGGTGGCAGTTGGTCCTGGAGAGAGAAGTCCTTCTCTCCTGGTGGCCTGTGGGGACCCATCCCTTTCTCTCTCCCTTTTGGCCTTGATGGCCCAGGGCCACCGTGCCTCTCCCTCATTGGAAGCTTGGTGTCTGCTGCTGCGACCGTAACCACTCCCCACCCCACCCCTGGCCCCCAGTTGGGTTGGCCCAGGGCATAGGGATGCCTGGACACCCAGCTCAGGGTCAGTTCTTTGTAATCCAGTGCTTATTGCCTGTCTGTGCTGTTCCCAGGGCCACCCCAGAAATGGTCTCCCTGCTAAAGAGAAATAACTGTGGGAAGGCCCTGGACATTGCCCGCCAGGCCCGAGACATGCTCGGGGGGAATGGGATTTCTGACGAGTATCACGTGATCCGGCATGTCATGAACCTGGAGTCTGTGAACACTTACGAAGGTGAGGGCCAGATCCCTGGAGGGGGTGGAGTGTCACAGTGGCCTCACTGGGGAAGAGGGGCAGTAAGGAGGGGAGGGGAAGCAGGCCCAAGTCCTACTCCCAGCCATCACCAACTGGCGGTGTCATGGGGCAAATCTCACTCTGTATCCCTCATCTGGAGTGGCTCACCGGGACTGTGGAAGTGAAACACTCCCAGTCCTTTCTCCCATTATGCTCTGGAGGAGAGATGTTCCGAAGCCTGCTTACAGCTTCCTCCAGCATCCCCGTAGTGGGGCCCAGTGCCCAGCGAGCTGGTGAATGCAAGGCAGTGAGAGTGCAGCTGCACCCTATTTTATGTGAGAAAGAGAAGCGGTAAATCATCTTCAGGCTGAGGTGTTTGTACCTGGCAACTGGTGGTGACTCACATGGGGCCCAGAACCCCTTGCCTCGTGGGAGGACAGATAAAGAAAATGATGATTAAAAAGAAAAAAGATGTACAATTCCAGTGTGAGTCACACAGAAATAGAGGGAGATGTAACAGGTGCTCAGATCTCTTAGGAAGTGGGACCATGTTAAGCTCTGAGGGAGGTGTAGGAGCTCCCTGGGCAGAGATGGTTAAATAGCATCCATGTGCTATTCTGGATGGAACGTTCCAGAAACAGCAGGGGGGTGATCCTACAGGTGCGAGAACGACCCTGAGGACAGGTACCCTGAGGACAAGCAGGGTGGATCTTCAGATGACTTTATGCAGGGGAGGGGCAGGGTCAGATTTGCACCTTTAGCAAGAAAACGGTTATTTTGCTCCCTAAAAGGGAGGCCATGATCTCTGCCTTCCACCCCTGGGAGCTGAGGAAAAGCAAATGCAAACACTGAGGGCTGTAAAGTGTTACCTAGACGTGAGGGCATGGGATGGGCTGTGGGGCAGTGGCTCCAGGATGCTGGGGGTCAGATGGGACAAGCAGTTGTCTCATATTTGCTCTCCCATCCCTCCTGTGGGTGAGGAGGGGCCTGATACGTTTCCACAAAGCCCATCAACTCTCTCCACCTCTGCCCGAAGGAAGCATGGCTGGGTTGAAAATGAAACATTTAATCAACTGTGTGGGGTTGGGGGTGGAGTGAATCTGTGGGAGCACCAAAGCTGGGCCAAAGGCGGGGGCTGGACTTCCTGCAGTTTTGGGCCTGGCACAAGGAGCTTTGGGTTTTTGTTTGTTTGTTTTTTGCCAAGATGCATTGCAGAACTCTGAAAAACAATTTTCTCATCATAGCCTAAACGGGGGCCTCTAAGCCTTCCCTTGGTGGCTGTCACTAAGAGGGGCTCTCCTGGCAGCTGTCAGCATTCTCCATCTTTGTGGGTCTGTTCTTCTTCCGAAATAGTAGCCTGTGGGGGAACATGAAGATTGAACTTAAAGGGAGGTTGTGAGCCGTTAAGACTCCAAACCAACTCTGCATTTATCTTTCCCAGGCACTCATGATATTCATGCTCTGATACTTGGAAGGGCGATCACAGGGATCCAGGCGTTCACGGCCAGCAAGTGAACACACTTCACCCGGGAGCCTGGGTGGTACCAAGCTCCTTCCCAGGGAGATGCTGTGCTCTGAGCTGAGCCAGAGAGGTGGCAGATGGAGCCAATTCTTATGGTGGGAAGTGAGAGACACTGATTTTTAAATATCAAAATTTCCCTTTTGAAGTCATTCAAATGTGTTCCTTAAAAAGAAGAGGGGACTCTCTGTACTGAGTTTCTCAAGTCACTTTTAACTATGGATGGGAACAGACTCACTTACCTTGGAACAGAAGCTTCTCTTGACAGGGTATCAGGGAGAGGGAACGAGAGTGACACGGAGGCAACTTGTGAGACCCACCTGGTGTCTGCCTAAGCAAACTGCCCCCCAATACACACCCCAAGAGTTCACTGTGCGCCCTCTGACCCTCTCATGTGGGTAAGTGCCTTATGCTGGACGTTGGAGCAGAGCAAAGGGGAAGGAGAGATAATAAAGTCTGCATGCTTGACCCCACAGTGTTGGACACATTTACTTGTAACCACCGAAAGTTATTTCAGTCACAGGAAAAAGAAACACAGGGTGGTGAAGTGGGCTGGGACCTGGCGGGGATTTCCCCTGCTCCTGAGTGATCTGGTCTGTGGCTGAGTCCTGGGCTCGGCTGTAATAAATAAACCTGGTTAGGCACTGCCCAGGGCTCCGGGCTGAGGGCAGAGGGGACTTTGTCCTTTCTATCACCACAGAGCTGACACACAGCATGGGAAATGATGGTCCAGCTCTCACAAGACAGGGGAGCACAAGGTCACAAGAGAGATGGGGATCATCAAGGGTTTCGTGGTGGTGGTGGCCCCTGTGGGGTTTAGGGCGGCCGGGGCTAATGCCCCTGCTTTCTATTGACATTGATTTTCATCTTTGCTGCTATAACTCTCCTTCCCCAGGCTGCGCCCACGTGCATGAGTTTTGTCATACCTCAGGCTGGACGCACAGGTCTTTGTACACGTTCTCCACAGTGTGGCACACTTGTTTGAGCTCTGTTTCCAGATGACTGATCTTTGCCATTTTCTGGGTGAACTCTTGGAGCTTTTCCTGAATGATCTTGTTGTGGTGATTATAGATCTGATACATCCTCTCCTCTAGTTTCTCTGTCAGGTCTGAAACCTTTTAAAGAATAAGGTGTGTTTTTGGAAAAGCAAACAAGAGGCATCACAAGACATTGTTCTAGATGGCTCTTTAAGATTTCTGCAGTTTCTCTTATAAAAGTGGCAGAAACAACTCCAGTGACTAGAGGTGAAACTGCCTACAGGTTAAACTTTTCTTTTTAAAAAGCAAGGTGCAAAATTATGTAAATAGTATAAGCTCAAGCAGGTTAGGAGGAAAGTACACAGAGCAGAGACTAGAAGAAAACATACAGCCAAGTGGCTCTGGGTGGTGGTATCATATGAATGTTTTTATATTTTTTCTGCCTTTTTATATTTTTCTCTACTGTCTAAATTTTCTATGTACCAGGTAGGTAGGGATGGGGGGCGATAAAAAGGGAAAAAAGTCAGTCTGTCATTGAGAGATGACATGTAGAATCAACAAGCTGTCCCACTCACAGGATCCATTATGTATTTTTTTTTTAATGGAGGTACTGGGGATTGAACCCAGGACCTTGTGCATGCTAAGCATGCTTTCTACCACTGAGCTATATTCGCACCCCCCCCATTATGCATTCTGAAGAAGCATCAGGGACAGCCATTAATATCAGATCTGAACATAACATCAGGCTTTGTTAGACACAAGCCCCAGGCATGTCCCGGGACCTCTACTCTCCTGTCACAAATCATTGGACTTCTGGAGGACAGATGGGTGTAATAACTCAGGTTATGCCTCAACCCCCTACTCCCACAGCCGTTAGCCCTGGCATGAAGTAAGGGGCTGGGCTGTGGGTACAAATGGATCTTGGCTCTTCATCCTAGTTTTTGGACTTGGGCAAGTTATTTCCAAACCTCATTTTTCGCATCTGCAAAATGGGTTCTGTCTCTGCAGGATTGCTGTCAGGATGAAATGAAGTACAATGGGCAAATTGCCTAGCACCACGCAGGGAACATGACAGCTATTGCCTTCATTTCCCCCCACCCCCGCCTTTCACTTTTGCATGAGGAACACCCCACCTTCACTGGGGCTTCACAGTGAGTGTGAGGAATCTCGCACCTTGATCTTGAGGCTGTCTCTGAAGTTGGTCATGAGCGCGTGGTCCTTCTGCCTGCTCTCGTTGATGTTCTCGATCAGCTCCTGGGCCCTCTTCTTCAGGATGTCAATGCTCGAGTCCAGAGAGGAAAAGGGTCCCGACTTCCCTTCCAGCATCATCAGCTGGCGGTTGGCACTGGAGGTGGCGACAGAGGGGCTAGAAACCTGACTTCTGAAAGTGTAGGAAACTGAGATCAGCGCCAAACTCTCCTGAGAGTGGTCTCAATTAGCTCTATGGTGGGAGGAGAAGCCGTGTTGTGTGTCTCTCATGGGTGACACTTGTTTATTTCATTCATATACACCCCTGAGAGGCAGGGACGGCATCCCCATCTTATAAATGAAATCAGACCCAGAAGCACAAACAATCTGCCCAAGTTTCCAGTACAAGGAGATCTGCCTGACTCCAAAGCCCACAGTTGTTTTATTACACCAACTTGCTGCTTTGAAATAAGCATCAATACTATTAAAAATAGTTTGATGCTTTCTTAGATGATCTTCCCGTCACCAACCTGCTGCATCTTTTTCCATCCCTTTCTAAATCTGGGTAATGCTCACAGTATGCAGACCATCTGGAGCCAGTGTACCTGCATGTCTCTGCTCTTACCCGGTGAGGTGGCCTGTCAAGAGGTAGTTATGTTAAAACATAAAAATTTAAAAATGCCCCCCTAGACAGTTAGGTCTGTCCCACACTGTACACATGACTACAATGATGCAAGTCAGTCAGTTAGCTTGTTAGCTAGTGAAATGGTGAAAAAGTGACAGCTGTCTAAAGCTTAATGGAATGAATAAAGAACTTAATAAAACAACTATTAAATCAAGTATGGGGGAGACAACTATATATGGGGCAAAGAACATAAAAATCTAGAAGGATTCTGTATACAGATCGCATTGTCAAGGCCTGTGAGTTTTCACTCCGCTTTAAAAACATGAAAGTGGAAATTGTGGGTAACGCATTATGAATGAGGTTCATGTAAAAAAAAGTTGCAATCTGCTCAGCAGACCCAATGGTGATTTAAATTAAGAAAAAAATTATGGTAAGCTCCCCCACATTTCCCTGCTTTATCTGCCACATACCATGCTAAGTTACATGCCTCTTCTTGCTACATCCTCATGACCACACTTTGGGGTCTGTCCCTATTATCTTTACCCCATAGCTGAGGACACAGGCTCAGAGCAGTTGTGTCACTTTCTCAGGATCACCAGCCAGTCACTGGCAGAGCTGGGTGTGGCACCCAGGTGGCCTGACTCCCTGAATCCTGCTTTCCCCTGGGCCCTTAGTTTCCTCCTTACCCCCTGAGGTGCTTCCAGCTCTGAACGGCTGAGACTCGGAGGTGACAATACAGCAGTTCCTCAATACACCGGTTCACACACAATCATAGAGTCAGCCATGACTGCAAGCCAGACACTGATACTTAGAAAAACACATCCTGATTTTCAGATGCTTTCTCCAGACAACTATGTTTCTTGGCTTTTCCCCAACTGCCTGAGCTCTTCCTTTTGGCTCAGGATACAAGCACTTTGAAACTTGGATGCACAAGAGCCAGGATAGCCACAGCTCTCATTTGCACAAAGGTCGTCAGGCCCGAGACACTGGCTGTGTCGTGGTCCTTATGTTTTCCTTACCGGATTGCTTCTTGCCCCTGGGCTTTTGCATGTATTTGCTCTCTGACCTGTGAGGCCTACCCCAGACCACTGTCTCCTTTGAGAAGCCAGCTATGACCCTGAGCCCATCTCTACCACTGTGTGCTTGTCACTGTTAAGACCCTTCTCTCCCCAGAGGGCTGTGTCCTGTTTACCTCTGCATTCCCAGCATCCAGCACATAGTTAGTCCTCCACTGTTTGTTGAATGAATGAAAGATAACTTCCCTCTGATTTATGCCTCCTTCCTCTGGCTTCACACAAAGCATGCATGTTCATCTGCCTCCAAGCCCAGACACTTGTGTTCAGTGCATTTGTCAAGACGAGAGTGTGCCTCTGACTGAGGCAGGCATTTTATAGCAAAGACATGTCAGGTAGAAAACAATGGACCAACTAAAGGCTCCCTGAGCATTCTTGTTAAAAAACATTTTGCTGTCCCAAGTACCTATCCCTCACGTGAAGAATAATGAAAGCATTGAGTAAATGAATGAATGACGAGCAAGGACTTTCATTATCATCCAGACTTCCACATCTCCCAAACACCATCGCTAGCCCACGCCTAACTCCCGAGCTCCCAACAACACACCTGACTGCCTCTGGGTCTTCTCCACTTGGCTGTCCCAGAGGCATCTCAAATGCCTCTAAATTTGCACATCAACATTATTTCCCCCCAAACCCAATATTGTCTTCCCTGCTCATTTCCTTGAATGACACCAAAAGCCAACTGGTTATCAACTAGAAACTTAGCAGTCAGCCTGGAGCCTGGCTTCTCTCTGTTCCTCTGTATCCTGTCACAAAGTCTCATTTCTACCTCCTTTATTTCTCCCAAACCTATCATCTCCCCCATTTACAACCATTTACAACTCCATGCCTATCACTCTCATCTGGGCCCTAGTGACCTTAGACCTGAAATCTGATACTGCACTCCTGTTCCTGCTCCCCAGCCTCCAAGAGCCCCCACCAACCACAGGATCAAGTAAATTCCCTAGCACAGCACAGCAGGCTTTTCAGGGCCCTGGCCCCCACTTCTTTTCACCCTCCACCCCTAGTGATTTGGAACCTTCCACAGTTACACCAAACCCATCAGACTTCACCTGAAATGATTTTCCCTTTCTGTCAACTTCAGGAGGCAACATTCTGAGCATCTCCACCATACTTTTGCTAACTAATCACAGCACTGCCAGTTTGTACATGTCAGTTCCCCCCAGGTCACCGTGTATGCTCAGGGCAGGGACTGCATTGCACTCATTCCAAAGGCATCGCAAATGTTCATGTTCCCGGAATACCTAAATGAATGAACTACTGCCTCGGAGCCTGGTGTAACATTCTTGCTCTTGAGCCACTTTGTACCTGCAGTTGCTTTGTTATCCCAACAATGTAAGGATACTGAAATTAAAATCAATGATAGAACCCGGTGCTTCTTTTTGTGTAATTGCTCACAAACTGCTTGAGTTGCTAACTGTTCAAAGTCACTCCTCTCTCTGGCTCAAGGGATGAGGCTGGAACTGGTCTTTGTGGCAGCTACACAAATGGTGAAAAATCACTTGAATTCAGCTCATTCAAATTTCGTTGTGGGACAAAGGCCTGCATCAGATGTCTGCAGAGAGCTGCTTGATTTCCCCCAACCTCTCCTTTGGGGATTGATTCCTTTCTATTTCATTTTTCTTAATATTCAGCAGCTGCATATTAATCAGGATGCTAATGAATCATAGGCTTCCCTGGGCCTGCATTCACCAATTAACTTTAATAAACAAAATGCACCGTGTCCTCTCTACTGGCTTCCCCCATTCCCGGACCTGCTTCTGTTGCCCAAGCCTGGCTGGAGGCCAGGGAGTGGAAGTTGGCCCAACACAGCAGGCCCCTTGTGCTCTGGGTTGGGCAGTGGGGGGGTCGGGTGGGGGCTGTGAACACATCCCTGTGCTCATCTATGATGGTCTGTCCTTCTAAGGAGTCCGTAATTCGGCTTTGAGGATTAGGACATAGATCCCAAGCCGGGCCCAGCCTGGCAGGGGGCCTGGGAACGGCAGAGGAAATGGGTCTAAGTGAAGAGACCATCTGTTCGCTCCAGGTAAAGCTGTGATTGGCAGGCGTGTGAGCCAGAGCCGCCTGCCGGTGGAGCCCTCCCTCTGTGGCCTCGAACAGATATACAAGTAAACAATCCGCCAGCCACTTATGACCACCGCAGGCAGCAGTCCCAGGAGGAGAGGCAAGCTAATCAAACATTCAAGGAGAAACACAACAGAATCTCTGGCGCTTGAGCAAAATGATGTTTTGCTGAAGTACAGCCAGGAAGGGGGAAGGTTTGAATCGAAGCTGCCGAGCCTGTTCCTTTTACCCTCTGCTTTTCTCTCCCGAAATGTGTTCACATTTTAATCATGTCACTGAGAGTCTGCTGCTGGATCTATTAACTGGTCCCTGCACTGGTTCTAACCCATCTGTTTCTAGGCCCAGAGCTCTTTTGGAAATCCTTGAAGTCTCTGAATGATTTGCAATTTTCTGTCTCCTCACCACTTAGATCCTGGTCTAAATGTGCTACTTGCAGGAAGACATTATCAAACAAACTACTTCAGCCATTTCCTTCTTTTTTTCTGGTCACCAATTGACAGCACACACCTGGAAACCATTCCACCCTGTGGCCTGATTTACAACTGAGGAAGCTGGGAGGCCAGAGAAAGCTGGCTTTTTGCCTGGAGTCCCCAGGGCCCTGTCCCAAGCCTCATTCTATCCCCAGGTGAGGTGCTTCACTGGAACAGTGACTCCCATCTCCAGCCCTGGCCCCACCCTGAGTTCCGAGTCAGAAAGTCCAACCCTGTCCTGGACGCATGCATGTGCATGTCTCCGGCCACCTCATACTCAACAAGGGCAAAATGGAACCCGTGTTCTCACCTCTGCCAGGGAGACCATCACCTGCTGCAAGCCACCTCAAGCCAGAAATTGAGGAGCAGCAGTGTGCTGGTAAGCATTTAGCAACTGGCTCTCTGGGTGGGGAGAGCGGGGAAGCCTTGATTTGTAGTGTTTGCCAATTTCCATGGTGCAAAGACTCCTACTATAGCCAATTTCAAGCTACCAACATGAAGTCACTAAATGCCAGGTTGAGAAGAGATGAGTAGAACTGGCTCTTGCTGGGAGGAGCTGGCTCCAGCACACTGCAGCTGGGAGACAACCTCAGCTCATCCTCTTCCTCATGCCTCACTAAATGACTGCCCCCTGCATCTTCTCTCCATCTACCCTGCTAGATGCCACCCTCTCAGGAGCCTCCCACCTCCCTCCCAGGTCCACTCATGCCCTCTCTCACGCATTCTCCACAAAGCAGCCAGTGTCTTTTTATAACAGGAATGCATGTCACTTTTCTCACCCTCCTAGGTATCTACCCAAGAGAAATGAAAACTAATACATGGCTGTTCATAGCAGCATTGCTCACAAGAGCCAAAGAGCAGAAACAACCCAAATTTCCATCAGCTGATGAATGGATAAATAAAATGTGGTAGATCCATAATATAGAATATAATTCGGCCACATAGAGGACTGAAGTTCTGATACATGTTACAACATGGGTGAACCCTGAAGACATCATACTCAGTAATAAGAAGCCAGTCACAAAGGACCACATAAGGGTATGACTCCAGTATTATATGAAATATCCAGCAGAGGCAAATCTGTAGAGACAGAAAGTAGAGTTGTGATTGCCAGGGACTGGGAAAGATGCAGTGATGGTTAAGGGGTGCAAGGATTCTTTTTAGGGCAATGAAAATGTTATAAATTTGACTGTGGTGATGGTTGCACAGCTCTGTCAATATACTAAAAACAACTGAATTGTACATTTCAAGTAGGTGAATTGTATGGTATGTGAATTACAGCTCAATAAAGCTGTTACAAAAAAAAATCCTCAGGATCAAGTTCATAGCCAACAAAATGCCGTGACCTGGTCCCTGCTGAGCCCTCCTCCTGCACTCACGCCCCTGCCCATGCCACACGGGCCTGCCTTCAGCTCCCTGAAGCCATGGGCAGGGGCTTTGCATGAGCTATTCTCTCAGTTCCTCTTTCCAAACCCAAGCTTACTCAGCACCGACTCTCTGTCACCTTATGACTTAGCATCACCTATTCGAGGGCACTCATTTAGTGCTGGCTGACCACAGGGGAAATGTTTTCCCAGGACCCCGACCTCTTCTGTCAGTACTTGTTCAATATATGCCTTCCAGTCAGATGGGAGCACTGGAAGGGTATGAGGGTTTCTGTCCGATGTGCCCAAGTTACCCCTAGTACCAATCACAATGCCTGACACACTGGCCTTCCCACTGTTTTGTGAGCACACCAAGCTTACTCCTGCCTCAGGGACTTGTAACGGGGGCTCCCTCTGCCTGGAATGTTTGGGCCCATGGGTACCTCCTGGCTGGCTCCTTCTCATGTCACCTCCTTAGAGATCTCCAACTAAACTCCCTGTCCCTCTAGTTGCTCCTTCTCTGTTTTGTTTCTTCACATCACTTTGCCACCAGTTAAAATCACATTAAAAATACTGTCTATCTTTTAGAAAGTCAGCTTGGCAAGAGACCCAGGATAGCCAACACAATACTGAAGGAGAAGAATTAAGTTGGAAGACTGATGCCATTTGATTTCAAGATTTACTACAAAGCTACAGTGATCCAGATAGTGTGGTACTGGTGAAAGGATAGACAACATATCAATGGACCAGAACAGACAGCCCAGAAATAGACCCACACACATATAGTAAACTTATCCTTGACGAAGGAACAAAGAAAATTCAGTGGAGAAGGGAGAGTCTTTGTAACAAATGGTGCTGGAACAACTGGACACACACATGCAGAAAAACTGGTTAGACGCAGACCTTGCGCCTTTCACAAAAATTCTCTCAAAATCGATATCATAGCCCTAAATGTAAAACAAAAAACTCTAATCCTCCTGGAAGATATCATAGGAGAAAATATAGATGGCCCTGAGTTTGGTAGTGACTGCTTAGACACAATATCAAAAGAAAAAAATGGTTAATTGGACTTCATTAAAATTTAAAACTTCTGCTCTGCAAAAGACACTGTTAAGAGAATGAAAAGACAAGAGCCACATTGGGAACAAATCTTTGCAAAACACATACCTGATGAAGGACTGATATACAAAATATACTAGGACACTTTAAACTCAGCAATAAGAAAGCAAACAACCCAACTTAAAAATGGACAAAAGATCTGAACAGACATCTCAGCAAAAAAGATATACAGATGGCAAATAAGCATATGAAAAGATGTTCAACTTCATACCTCATCAGGAAGTTGTAAGTCAACACAACACTGATACTGATACACGCCTGTTAGAATGGGGGAAAATCCAAAACACTGACCACACCAAATGTTGGTGAGGATGTAGAGCAACAGGAACTCTCGTTCACTGAGGACAGGAATGTAAAAGGGCTGAACCACTCTGGAATATATTTTGGCAGTTTCTTATGAAACTAAAAACACTCTTACCATATGATCTAGCAATTGTGGTCCTTGATATTTACCCAAAGGAGGTGAAAATTTACATCCATACAAAACCTGCATGTGAGTGTTTATAGCAACTTTATTTATAATTGCTAAAACTTGGAAGCAACCAAGATGTCCTTTAATAGGCAAGTAGATAAACTGTGGTACATTGTGAAAATGTACCACATGGTACAGGGAATATTATTCAGCATTAAAAAGAAATGAGCTATTAAGCCATGAAAAGACATGGAGGAACCTTAAGTGCACACTGATACGTGAAAGAAAATCAGCTCCAAGAGAGCAGGAATTCTGATTTGTTCACTATTGTACCCCCAGCATCTAAAACAGTGCCTGGGCAAAAGAGACTATCAATAAATATCTGGTAAATTAATGTGCAGGACAAAAACATCTTTTGAAAGTCATCCCTGACCCTGCTCTTTCTCTCACTCCAACATTGACTCCATTAGCAATTTCTGTTAGTTCTATTTTCTTAAATCTATCCAGAATCTGACCACTTCTCATCAATTCCAGGGATCCACCTGGGATCCACGTCAGAGTCATCTTGCACCTAAATTATTTCAATTGCCTTATCACTGGCCTCCCTGCTTCCAAGCCTACCTTCAATAATCTATTCTCTACATGGCAGCCAGAGGGAGCCTTTTAATACTTTAGTCCAGAGGCCTACAAACTTCTACAAAGGGTGAGATAGGAATCTTTTGTTTTTCAGGCCATATGGTCTCAGTTACAACAATTCACCTCTGCAGAAGCAGCCCTGTTCCAATAAAACTTTAACAACAGACCTCACCCTGCTGTAGTCACTTCCTGTCACTTCTCTATTCCAAACTTTTTCATGGGTAATTATCATCCAAAGTCCCATTACCTGTCTGCCTACCTCCTTCTTACTCAGGCTGCTCTAGCATAGTTCTTCCTCAGGGCCTTTGAAGCTGCTGTTTCTCTGCCTGTAGCATAGTTGTCTCTACCCTCATGGTTCACTTGTCACCTCTTCCATGGAGCCTTCTTCGACCCTCTGATCTAAACTGGCCACCTGTCACTCTCTCCCTATTTTTCCCCCATAGCACTTAGCATCCCCTGGCTACTTTTTTCTTTTTGTTTTTTTAAATGGAGGTACTGTGGATTGAAACCAGGACCCCATGCATGTTAAGCATGTGCTTTACCCCTATTTCCCTCCCCCTCCCCTGACTACTGTATATTTCTGAGTTTATAGACCTTCTCCTCCTCCAGAATGTCAGCTCACTGCTGTGTCCCCAGCACTTATATCCCAGGCACATGGGAGATGCTGGACAAGTATGAGCAACAAATACACCAAGAGAAGACACTGGTAGGGTCTTGTGGAAGAAAAGGGTGAATGAGGACTCAGGGGTCTGTTTGGACCCGTTGGGCTGGTTCTTCCTCACCTAGCTGGTCCCCGACCAGCCTCCTCTTCACGGTTCTCCTCGCCCTGTTGCTGCTCCTTGCTCTCCCTGAACAGCTGTGGCTCCTGGTCCTTGCCCTCTATGTGGGGCATGTCCACCTGTGAGCATAGCCAGCAATTGAGAGGTCGAAGGAGGGAGGGAGGGCTAGAAGTAGTCAGATTCCTCACCTCCCGCCCCTTCAACCCTTGACAACCCTGTGTGCCTCTGCGGCATGGTGGGGACCCCCAGAAGAGACGGGTGGAGCTGGGGCAGCACCATGAGGACTGGGGCGGTGGGGTAGGGGGACCCTGTGCCAGGGGTACAGGATTGGGATGGGGAGACCCAGAGGGGCTGGGGTGAATGCAGGGGCTCCGGATGGGGCGCTGGAGGGGCTGGGTTCCTAACTGGGGTGTTGGTCGGCTTGAATCCTTCGAGGAGGGAGAAGAGGTAAGAGAAAAAGAAGAAAAGAAATGGGTGAGGCGCGTTGAGTGTCTGAGTCTGTCTCTACCCTACTCCTTCCACGCGCCAAGCGTGTAAGTCAGTCCTCGTCTGGGCTGAGCGCGTCAGTCACACAGTTGGTCTGTTAGTCAGGGCCAGGTCTGTCAGTCAGGAAATCGGGGCCTAGCCGGACGAGAAGCCACCGATGGCAAGAGACAGGCGACCGGGCTCCGGTCCGCCAGGGAAGCATGAGATCACTGCCATTCCCTGTCCGTCTGACCGCCGCCCACGCGAAGGAAACAAGCGCCGCGTACCCCGTGTCGCTCCATCCTGTCTTTTCCCGCCTTCTCGTTTGCGCCCACTGCGCACGCGCCGGTCCCGCCCCTGGAACGCCTCGCCCCCACGCACGTGCTGAGGCGCGCACTCCTGGCCCCGCCCCTTTAGGGGAACTTGCGCGCGCAGCGGGGCGGGGTTGGCCGTTGAGCGGCGGTTAGGCTCTCCAGGGGCTGCGCGCGCAGCCCTCACAGCTGGGAGGAGCCGGTGGTCTCTGCGTGTGCGTGTGCACACGTGTGAGGGTCCAGGAGGGTCCAATGTAAGAGGGGAATCCTGCTGACCTTGCTTTCATCGTTTACGTTTCAGTTCCTCTGCTCCTCCCAAAGGAATCTTTCCAATAAAAAGTTCTGACCGTTGCTATTCCTTGATTACAACCTGTTGCCTTCAGTGAAAACATTTATGCAATTACCACCTTGAATCAGTTACCTGCACTTCAAAACCAGAAGTTCCTTGAAAGCATGGCGGGGCTGGCCCTAAAAGTTAGGCCCATACCGCTTAATAATAATAGTAATAGTAACAATAATGAATTAATAGTGAAAACGGTAATAATAATTGACACACGAGAAGCCACAGACTGGGAGAAAATATTTAAGAGCTTGTGCTCAGCATCTACAAAGACCTCTTGCAGCTCAGTAAGATAGAAAACTCATTTTTAAAATGGGCAAACAACTTGAAATGGTGATTCGGCCCTGAGATCCGAATAAGCTCAGTATGTTTGAGGAGCAGCCTGGCCTGGTGGGGAGCAGATTGGGGGAGGCAGTAGGTGACAGATGAAGAACTGGACAGGGGCTGGGCTGGGGTCCAAGGCCAGAGGTTTGGACTTTATTCCAACTGACTGGGAAGGAGGTGGGGCTCCTCTCCGGGACACCTATATTTTCTATATAGAGCCAGCAGGAATCTGCTCACATTGCTCAACCCCTTCTGTGCAGAGCCCTGTCCCTGGGCACACACACTAGGGCACACACCTTTACACCAACGTTCTGGAGAACATGGGTTTGAATCTGGGCTGCCTCTTACCAATGGGGGTAATCAGAAAACTGCCACTCACTCTCAAAATTCATCTTTGTCTATTACTGAGGCAATAAAACCTAAAACATGAGACTATTGTAAGGGCTTCAGGGATAGACATCTGGAATACATTTAATAAACAGTAGCTAACATTAGTAATTTGTGGCAAAGTTCCAAGTTAAACAAGATACATCCTACTCCAGCATCAGATTTGAAGATTGGAGGATTATCTACTGAGAAAAATCTCAGACTTACCTTTAAGCATGCATACCAACACACACACAACCAAAAAAAAAAAAAGGCAACAAAAATGCAGAATTTTTAGGTGCAAGGGTTTGTGTAACTTTTGAAAACATGCAAAATGAAACTATGTCTTGTTAAAGTAACACATGTAAGTAGCAAAGGTTTAAAAACACCTGAGAATGATAAAATACCAAATTCTGGAGGTCAACCTTAGTGGGGTGGAGGCAAAAGAAACTAGGACAAGCCCATAGGGTCTTCAAACTATTAGTCACATAGATCTGAAGTGAAAGATTCAAAGCAAGTATAATCTATGCTCAGATTTGAATGAAGTAGGGGTGCATTCCTGGGTGATCGCTGTATTATACTTTGTATTATACATGCTTCACCCTCTCCAGCCTTTACTTTTAACATGGCCTCTACCCCTCCCTCCATTTCTGTATTTGTCTGTTCATCAGGTCTCCATGCCTCCCCACCCACCAGTGTCAGCTCCTGAAGCCAAGGGCCAGAGCCAGCTTTGCCCACTGCCGAGCCTTCAGTTCATAAACACCGCTGGTACTTAAGAGGTGCATACTTATTGCATGAGTATTTTTCTATATGACTGGATTATTTGATTTGAAATAAATAAGCAAAAGATTTGAGTGAGGAGCCCCTGGAAGATTGGTGCCTACAGGCTCTGGGACCACCAAAACCCATGTCCTTAGCTGCCTACCAACTGCGCTGGGTATGAGTGGCCTTGTAGTTACTTAAGAAACCATCCATGTTTCCCCAAGTCCACTGCCCTTGAAGACGTGGAGTGACATGGTGGCTGGGAGCAACTCACAGATATGGGTGTGAGATCTCACCGTTCACCGTGAGTGGTGGATTCATGGAGCTTTAACCTACCCATTCATCTCTCCATTCTGGGCTCATGTGAAATCCTTATGAGAATTTTTTTTTAAAGAGTAGCTTTTTAAGGGGAGAAAGGGATGAATGGGTGGAGCACAGAGGACTTTTAGGGCAGTGAAAACACTATGACACCGTTAATGATGAATCCACATCACCATACATTTGTCTAAATCTGCGTACAACACGGGGCGTCAACTGTCATGTCAAATATGGACCTGGGTGATTATGTGTCAAGGCTGGGGGTATACAGGAAATTTCTGTACCTTCAGCTCAATTTTGCTATAAACCTAAAACCGTTCTTTAAAAAAAAAAAAAAGGGCAGCTTTACAGGCTTACCTTGCTATGTGCCCTAGCCCACCAATGCCCCAAGGCTCCCAGTTAGTGGGGATCCTGGCTCCTGGGGGGCCCCAAACACCCGCCTCGGCCTCCCCTTCCCACATGACCCTTCCACAGGGCTAGGGAGTTCTGTTCCTTTCACCTAGAAGAGGCCTGGCACCAGTAGGTGATCAGTAAATGTTTGATGGAGCGAGTCTTCCCTGGGGGGATCTGGCTTAGGTGGGCCAGGAGCTCCCGAGGATCTAAGACCTCCAACCCACCACACCCCACATCTGGGGCTCAGCACCCTGTCACCCCTAAGGAAAGGCACCAGATGAGTGCAACTGCCCACTTTATTAGCCAGCAGCTGGCCCGTAGGGCCCCTCAAGGCCCACCCTCACAGGTGGACAACAGAATGAACCTGCTACCCACTCCCCTGTCCCTGGGACCCTGGGGCCGGTGGGGAAGAGGAGATACCAGGGGCAGGGGGATGGCCTCACAGAGGCCTTGTAAATATAAGGGGTCACTGGCAGGGATGCAAACGGCAGCAGGGTCTTGGGGAAGGCGGCCTATGCAGGGTGGCTCATGTCATGCGGCCTCCTGTGTTGGAGGGGGGCCCCCGTTCGTTGTCCAGGCGGCACAGGGGACTGTCGTACACCATCTGCAGGTTCACCTTGTGGCCCACCAGCTCCCGGATATTGTTGATGCCATATTTGATCATTGTTGGCCTTGGGTGGGGGGAGAGGATGGGATGGACATGGTTTAACACAAGGTTAGGTCATGTTCTATTCTGATCAGTCCCTCTCTGAGGGCTCCCACCTTCCTTGGAGTAAAAGCCCAAGTCCTGCCCTGGGCCTGCAAGGCCCTGCACAATATTCTCTGTCACCTCCCCACCCTCATCTCCTCCCACTCTCAGCCTTCAGTCATTCACTCCTAGCCACAAGGGCCACCTCAGTGTTCTCCAAACACAGCAGTCAAGTTTAAGCCTCAGGGCCTTAGCACTGGCTATTCCCTCTGCCTGGAGCATCCTTCCCCAGATAACCACATAGCTTATCAATTCATTCACCTCCAGTCTTTGTTCAGATGTCATCTCCTCCATGAGGCCTTCCCTGACTATGTTTCCTTAACTCTCTCTGCTGTGTTTTCTCTGTAACAGTTACTGTTTTGGGCTACACTTTAGGCTTTATTTGTTGAACTTACTTATTTATCTTGCTAATTATCATCCTTCCCGTTCCACCAGACACCCCTGACACAGATGTGTGTGTTGTAATCATGGCACAGGACCAAGCACATGGAAGGTGCTCACTAATGGTCTGTCAGATAAATAAACGAACGGACGGGGCTGCAAGTGTGCAGGTCCCATGCCTGGCAAGTCACCCAACTGAGGCAGCCAGACACCCAAAGGGGTTTGGGTACTCACCGCTCCAGGGAGAGGCCCCAGGCTATGACTGACACATTCTCGGGGAGCCCCATGGGCAGCAGCATCTCGGGGCGGAAGAGCCCAGAGTTTCCCACCTCAACCCACTTCTTCAGGCCTGTGGAGGCAGAAGAGTGGGGTGGCTCGTGTGGGTGATACTGGGCCTGGCAGTTAGCCTGGGAGGTGGGGTGTGGGCTTGGCAGTGACGGGGACTGAGGCTGAGCGGTGGGGCAGCCTGAGACCTCCTTCCCCGCCCTAGTAGTGGGTTCTAGCCTGACCTTGGTGGTAGCTGAACACCTCCATGCTGGGCTCGGTGTAGGGGTTGTAGGTTGGCTTGAAACGCAGCTGGGTGATACCTGGGTCAGGGGAGGCAGGCAAGCAGAACAGTGAGGATAAGGCTGATGATCAAGGCATCATCCCACTGCCCACCAACACTGCCTGCCCCAGCCTGCCTGCTTACCCAGCTTGGTGAAGAACTCCCGCAGGACGCCCATGAGGTGGCCTAGGGTAAGGCCGTGGTCAGCCACGACGCCCTCAATCTGGTGGAACTCAGCCAGGTGTGTGGCATCCAGGGTCTCATTCCGGAACACACGATCGATGGAGAAGTACTTGGCCGGTGTGAAGGGCTTCTAGGGGTTACAGGCAGGCCAGGCCCCGGTGTGGGTGAGAAGGTCAGTATGACAGCCCCCGTCCCCCTGCACTGCCCAAGCCCAGCCACACCTTCTGGGCCAGGCGGTAGAGGGCGCGGGCGCTGGCTGATGTTGTGTGCGTGCGCAGCAGGTTTTTCCGAGCCTCGTCCAGCTTCCAGTTGTACTTGTACCTTCAGGGAGACACGCAGGAAGTCCATGAAATAGCTCTTGGGCCCCCAACCTCCTTCCCTGTGACACCCCAAAGTCCTGATGCTTCCTCACCCCAGTGAGCCGTAGCCACCCTGAGAGTGAGTCCGCTTGACCCGATGGACGTAGTCCATTGGCAGCTGCAGGGCCTGGGCTGGATCTGGGCAGGATAGAGCAACATCTGGTCAGTCAAGGAACATTTCTCAAATAGCCACTACACTGAAAACAGACAGTGACATGTGCAGCTCCCTCCCTTACCCCTACAGCAGCCAGAGGGCACCTGAGGACACCTGAGTCAGTCACATGTCTCTTCTGCCCAAAACCTTCCATGGCTCTCATCTCACTTGGAGAAAAAGCCAAAGCCAAATTTCTCCCTGTGGCCCAGAGTGCCCTGCACGCTGTCCTGTTACCTCACTGCTCCTGTTTCCTCCCACTCCTAATTGATTGTTTCCCCAAGTCACAGGGCCTCCCTGCTCAGTGGTCAGCACACCAGGCATGTGCCAGCCTCAGGGGTCAGGTCTCCCCCACCAGAACATGCAGGTCTCACCAGGGCAAGGATTTCTGTGCCGTTCATGGCTGTGACCCAAGTGTTTACCAGAGACTTCGGCGCACAGTAGCAGCTCAGTGACATATGCTGCTTGAATGTGCAAGTTCTTATGTTTCCTTCCAGACACAATTTTACTACGTCTGAAAAGCCTGATACTGAATCCCAACTCTACTACTTAGAAGCTGTAACCCTGGGTAAGTGATGTCCCCTCTCTGAGCCCCAATTTCCCCATTTGCAAAAGGGGGTTAACAGTCTACTTCCTATAGTTGGTTGGAAAATTAGGATAGTGACTGCTCAGTAAGTTTTGGATGCCATGGTGATGACAATGACGCTGTTGTCCCTGGCCAGGTAATGGGCACCCAACAGCCTCCCGTTCCCTCCTGGTGGGGAAGACAATGACCTTTGTTGGAAAGTCATTCAATTTCAGAAAGTACCAAGGGCTGTGGAAGAAAAAACAGAGACCAAGATGGAAGACAAGTGGTGGCAGATTTTAGAACTTGGGGAGGCAACGGCATGTCAGGGTGGTCTCTCTGAGGTGACACCTGTGCAGAGGTTTGATGCTGGAGCCCACCATGCAGATCTGGGAGAAGACAGTTTTCGGCAGAAGGCACAGATCAGCAAAAGCCCTGAGGTAGCCAGGAAGGGAGGTGGAAGGAGGTCACAGAAGTTGATGATGGTGGCTCACATAGGCTTTGCTAGCCGCACTGAGGATAGAGTTTACCCTGTAAAATGGTATGCCATCCAGAAAGGCTCTGCCTAGGCTGAGCACCTCTGATGGTGTGGCGGGGTTCACCCACCTTGCAGAAAGAAAGTGTCATGCTGGTCACGTGCTGGGTGCTGCTGGGGCTGGAAGAGTGCATCAAAGTTCCAGAAGGAGCTCTCAATGAAATTGTCAGTCGGCATCTCGGTGAACCTGGTGGGAGATGCAGCCTGACTGCCCTGCCTGTGTCCAGCAGCTGGGCTGGCCCCGCCCTGGGCCCTGTGCTCACCCCATCTCCAGGAAGATCTGCCGGAACTGGGTGCGGACCTTGAGCAGGGGGTGCAGGTGGCCACTGTCAGGGAGGACGCCGTGGGCTGAGAAATTGTAGGGCTTGAAGGGCCGGTCCCGCCAGGAGCCACTATGGAGAGATGCAGGATACATGGGCCTGGTCGGGGCTGCCTACCACCCCCATTGGCCCCCAACCCTGGGGCTGCCCCCTACCTGGAGATCATTTCTGGGCTCAGCTCCGTCTCCTGCTTGGAGATGCTGGTGCTGAAGGCACTGCCCTTGCTCACCCAGTAGGTCTTCAGAGTCCTGAGGCCAGAGGAGGGGAGAGGCAATGCTGTCACCTCTTCCAAGCAGTCTCCCCTGACCTCCCATCTGATGTTGACACCAACATCACCCACTAAGTCACTCTGTTGTATTTTCATCCCAACACTTATCATCACCTGAAATCCTCTTATTTGACCCCCACCTACATCCCTATGTTCTGGCGATTATTCAGTGAACAAACATTTACTGAGAACCTACTGTGTGCCAGGTCCTGTTCAAGGCACTAAGCATATAGCTGGGAGTGATAACAACAGGTCAAGTTTAAAGGATTTAATCTATGCTAGGCTCTGTTCCACTGAAATCACCCCATAATCTTGTGAAAAGGGACCATTTTACAGAGGAGTAAACAGAAGCCTGGAAAGATCAGGGGACTTGGTAAAAGTCACAGCTAGTACATGGCAGAGCTGGAAACTGGGCAGCCCCACTCCAGTCTGCATTCTTTTTACTGCCATGCTCCTGCTACGTCTGCTCAAAGGAGATGTCAGCCCAGTGAGGGCAGAGCCCCCAGCCTGTCCGAGTCCCAACATTCACTAAACTTCAGACAGTGCTTAGGTCTGCAAAGGAAATAAACAAGAGCACAAGGGATGGAGACTAGAAGTGAGGCGCTTTTATGGAATTCAAAGGGAGGAAGGGTATCAGGGTGGCCTCTCTAAGGTGACACATGAGCAGAGGCTGGATGTCGGAACTTGCATTGGAAAATAGCAGGAAGATCCTTCTCGGCATAAGGCACAGCACAGGCAAAGGCCCTGAATTGGCATGAGCCTGGCACGTGTGCCTAACATGCACAGTGTGAAGGAGAGCTGGGAGGAGACTGACAGCACCATGGCCCAGGGCAGGTGGGACGGCTCGCATTCCCCTCCCCCTGCTTCAGGGCCATGCAGGTGACACGGGTGCGAACCTGGGGGAGGCACCCACTCACACTTCAGTCAGCAGCTTCCTCTTCCGGAGCTCGCTCCTCTCCTTCTCTCCCAGCTTCTCAGCCTGTCCACCCCGGACTGTCTGGAGCCGCCGCTGCACCTCATCCTCCACGCTGTCCACCTGCCTCGATGATGGGAATGAGGGGCCGCGAGGGCCAGGGGCCCACCAGTCTGCCCACCCTGCTCGACCATCCCCTGGCAGGGACTCACCACTCGGAACACCCGGGGCCCGTCAGCAGCACTCTTATCCACCCGGATCCACTTGTTGGACATGGCCTTGCTGAAGCCCACCTTGCCACTGGGCAGTCGCTACGGGATCAAGGCTGCAGTGAGGGGGGCTCAAGGGCTGCCGTTACCCCATCACCTCTCTAGACCCTGCTCCCCACCACCGGCTCCTACCATGAGCTCGCTCTGGGGCAGGCCCTCTGAGGGGACGCTGCGAAACACTCGGGCCTCATGGCTGCCCTCCCGAGCAATCTCCTCACCCTCCGCGGTAAGCTCCCAGCGCTTGGTGGAGCGCAGCTCGGCCTGGATGATCTGCAGGAAAATAGGGGGACACAGGCAGGGACAAGGCTCAGATCCAGGCACCCCTCTGCCATAGCACCGGGTACATGGTTGAAAGCACAGCCTCTGAAGCCAGCTTCACACCCCAACTGCACCATTTCCCAGCTGAGTGATCTCCCCCTCCTGAGCCTGGGCTGATATTCTGTGACCTAGGGATAATGATAAAAATTATTCACACCTCCCAGGGTGAGGTAAAGTACTAACAGTGTTGCCTGCCTGACAAAGAACAAATTCTTCCTACCACTTCTGAACCTGGGAAAGATTTTTATGATCTCAGGTGAAAGGATTTATCTGCACACTTACAAGTTTGCATCCCAGTACCTGGAGTGTCAGAGAAGGACGGGAGTGGGGGTGTGTATGTCCACATTACACGCAGGAACCCTAAGCTCCACGAAGAGGATGGGCTTGGGTTACAAGGAAAAAGACAAAGCTGGGTGGGACCCACAGGTCCTAGCTCCCCTTTCATTCTAATTCCTATTACACTTGCTGTGTAATCTTGGGAAAGTTGTTGAACCTCCCTGAGCAAAATTTCTTATTTATGAGAGAAAGGTGTGGTGGACTCTACCTCAGAAAGTTGTTTTCAGGAGTCACTAAATCAATACACAGAAAGGATGTAGAGTGCTTAGCATGCAAGAAATGCTGCATAAGTTCTAACTACTGATACTACTACTATTATTTTACCATCACTGTTCTTAGACTGAACTACAATAAATTATCACTACTTAACCATCTGTAACCTACACAAATGTCAATTTCAATCAAGGTATTGTCATCCCATACAACATAGCTTCAATTCCTTTGTGCACTGATGACCTGAGGCTTTGCAGCCTGAGCACCTAATTTCGAATCCAGGATAGCCTTTTCCTTCTGTTGACACTGATCAAGTGTCTGACCAGTGCTCAGAAGTTGTCACATCTGCAAAATGAGGATAATAACAGCATCATCATCCTAAAGTTACATCAAAGAGTGGATAACAAATAAAGCTGAGACTAGAGTGGGACACAGAACATGAGCTTGATGAATAGACAGCCCAGATCTGTTCTTTGAGTCGTGGATCCAGCCTCCTGGGTGAGCCACAGGTCCCTCAGCATCCTCTCCCTCTGGCTTCATCACCCTTCACTTGTTCAAGTTAGAAGGCTGGACTTCATCAGTGGGTGCTCCTCCTACCTTGCCATGAATTTCATTTCATTCCTTCTCCTGAATCCTTTCTCCATTCCAGCTGCCTCCCTATAGCCAGAGACCACACCCTCTAGTCTGAGAATGTGCCAACCACTGCCCTTGTCCCCTCACCTCCAGTCCTGCCCCTGCCAATGCTTCCCAAGAGTGATGGAGGCAGTTTGCACATCTGAGTGGCTCCAGCAACTGCCACGGCCCCCTAGTACCTCGGTGAGATAAAGACCTACAATGCCTTGCAAATTCTGGCTCTGTTGGTCTCTCTCACCACTTGCCTTCCCACCCTACCGATCCCCAAAGTGCCATGACTTTCCTCCTCAATGCAGAAACCCGACTCAGCTGTTATCTCCTTTGGGATGATCCCCAAGTCGGGGTCAACTGTCACCTCTGAGTTTCCTGTGCTTTCACCACTCTGGTCACTTGGGTGTATCCCCCATTAGACTACAATCTCCGTGAAGGCAGCGACTGCGTCTTTCTTGTCCACCAGCATACTCCCCACTCCCTGACACTGATCATGCCTCAATAGACATTTACTATATGAGGAAAGTCCGTGCGCCCGGGCCGTCACAAGTTCCTGACTCTCCGCCTGCGCACCCTCGGCTGGACGCATATACCATTACCCTCATCCAGGCCTCAGAGAGTTTGGCCTGTAGACCGAGCCCTCCTGGCAAGGGACCCACAGATGAAAAAGCTAGGAGGCCCGGCATCACGGGCCCCGCTCACCTCGCCCAGCGCCTGCAGGCTCTTCACGGCGCCCACCACGGCCTGGTGCTCCACGCCCAGCTCGGCCGCCAGTTCTGCGCTGTCCAGACCGCCATCAGCCGCCTCCAGCCGCCGCAGCAGCACCTCTGCCACGGGGCCGTCTGCCATGGCTGCTCCCAATGCGCTCGGCGTGTCCCTGCCGGCGA